CGCTGTCATCTACCGGTGCGTTAAGACCAACTACAGTGTTCGGATTTTTGTAAACTTAATTTTAGTAGTTCTCTCATGGCAGTACTGGAAGTACGGGAGACCTATAAACGGTTTTGTAATACTTCTGTCACATAGTGATCATCTTCTCAATAAACATCTTTGCTGATGTTTTTTAGTCTTCTGGCCACTCAGAATCAAGATTGTTGCCGGAACTCCCCATCGACCAATAACTTTGCGGTAGAACTCTTCTTTATACATCCATGGGTACAACTTCAGATAAAAATGAACACATGGTGAAATATGACCCCCGGTTTGATGATTGACAGGTCCTATTGCAAATAGGGAGCTATCTACCCTTACCCACAATTTAAAGTAAGCCACAAAGACTATCTCCTCTTTACTCTTCTCGCAGCAAGATGTCAGAACAAAGTGAAAAACAAACAATGGCATAAAATATTATTAATATGTCGGGTAGTAATATATTTATTTATTTTCTTCTCAGAGTGTACCAGAATGCATAGTTTGTTAGTATTTCTAAAAATCTCCTGGGGGAGAATCCCCCCAGACCCCCTGCTGGGGTTGGGTTTTCAGCATGTGTGCCTTTTTCTATTGTTCAGCTTTGATTTCATCAACTCATTAAACCTTTTTTAAAAGCATACTTTAGTTCTGTGAAGGGATATAAGGGATATATACACTGTACTTCACTTTTATTAATATTGTATGCTGAAAAGCGTATATATTACAGCACGTTTTTTTGTTGAATAGATTTGAGTGCTTCAAAATGTTGGGTCGCGATGTATTGACCAAGTAAAAAGTGGGTCCCGAGGCCTGACCAGTTGAGAACCACTGATCTAAAGTGATTTGGCTTACTGTATCATGTATTAATTAATAAAGCGTGTTTACAGGATGTTTGGCTCCAGAGATCACAGGTTGAGCAAAATGTATAGGATTATGTAAACCCAAAAGGGACAAAAGCAGCCGGTTGCTTATTTTTGCTTTGTTTTTATAAATGTATATGTTCTTTGATTTTGTGTTCAGGCCAGAGAAAGAGCCCCAGTTTAAGTTCATCTACTTCAACCACATGAACCTGGCGGAGAAGAGCACGATCCACATGAGGAAGACGGCCAGCGTGTGCCTCACCTCGGTCCACCCCGACCTCATGAAGATCCTGGGAGACATCAACTGTGACTTTGCCAGGTACAGCAGAGAACTGTCACACTGTGTCTCTAGTTATATCAACCCTATGGGCCTCCACTGATCTATTGTTATAGTGACTGGCCACAAATCAGCTTGAAAGCATCCAATGGAAACCGCAGAATAGAAATACTTTATTTAGTGTTAGTGAGGAAAGCACATTTCACAAACAGTGGAAACAAAATAAGGAAAAACTGAGTACAACTTTATTTTTTTCATGGATACCATCACAGCTGTGTCTGTTTACACATAAGTGTGAAGCTCCTTCTAATGTTTTGAGCAGTCATGAGCCTGCAGTCATGTGAGTCCCATTTTCAGCCTGTGGCACGTTGTGTGGTATTGACCGTATTTATCCCAGTATCACTAGCAGTTCCTCTTTGAGTGCAGATGTTGTGTAGATGCTGCTGGTCCTTTGAATTTGTCAGCACACAAACATACATACAGTGCAATTTGTGTAATTACATATGGAAATGTAGGTCCTTTTATTATGAAATTCAAGATTTTAGTATCTCAAAAAAAGAACCTGTTTCTGACACAAACCCTAAAAACATTACATGACATGTCACTTGTTAGACGCTTCTATCCAAAGCGACTGACATACTCAGTACTGTGGGTAATCCCCACAGGAGCAATTTGGGGTGAAGTGTCTCAGGGACACAACGACATGCTGACTGCAGTGGGGTTTGAACCTGTGACCCCCTGATCCCAAAACCAACGCACAACCCACTGCGCCACACACCTCCGATCAACAACTAAAATGTTATGACTTATGACACTTTAAATGTGGTAGTTGCCTTTAAGTGATGGTGCTTTGCTCTTTGATCCCCCTCTCAGGGTTGATGAGGACGAGGAAATCATCGTAAAAGCGATGACAGACTACTGGGTAGTCGGCAAGAAGTCAGACCAGAGAGAGCTGTATGTGATCCTGAATCAGAAGAACGCCAACCTGATCGAAGTGAACGGTATGTCTCCACCACCTGGTGACGAGCAAACCTGCGTCATTCCACAATAAACAACACTTCTTTCATCCCTTCCTTAATGTCCTTTTTGTCTTTGCTCCACCACAGAGGAGGTAAAGAGGCTCTGCGCGACGCAGTTCAACAACATCTTCTTCTTGGACTGATGGAGCTGATGAGACGGAGACTGTTCCCCCACACTAACACTGTCAGAGTTGCAGGGTATCATGACAGCATCAGCGTAATGCAATAATTGCATTGTAAAATAAAAACAATTAAAAGCTTTCTCACCAAGTTTTTATTTTATTTAACCTTTAAAAAAAATGTAATTTTCTCTTGTAATTAAATGTAAATCCAGATTTTTACTGTACTTTAATTTTCTTTGTACATACTTTAAGGATTTTGTTAACTGTTCATTGGGATTTCTTTAGAAACAATTTGTTCGCATCATGAAAATGTCTCAAATTAATTTAAAAACTGACGTGCACACTTTACGCCCAGGTTTCTTTGATCATCAGTGATTATTTTAAATACGATGTCTTCATGTCAAAAGTATTGTGGTTTGCAAACAACTGCGCATTGTCATTTTACTCTGTGTAAGAAATGTTTTTTTTAGGTAAGGATTAAGTAGCAACATCAGAGATTATGTTTATTTATTGGACACATTTTCAGATGAGAATAAAGTTTGACATTACCTCTGTTGTAGTTGTGTTTGTGTTGCCCTTTATAAAACAGTAAGAACGTTTTTTTTTCTTTTTTGCAACAATGAATGCATCTAAAATATAGGTGAACAACAAAAATAAATAATTGAAGGATTGGCCTCAATTAATTTCAATTAGGGGCCTTCGAACATGCTAGGGATCATTCATAATTGCTGTGTCAAGGCCTAGATACAGTACTATTCTAATCCTATGGATGTTTTCATAATCTTTAATCAATTCAATAAGATGAGGAGCACATTTAAACTCTGATAACACGGGCTACTGAGTTGTGATGTTTATACAATAGCGTCTCCATCCGAGAGCTAATTCGTTTTTAAAACTGTTAAATGTACACTTACCACTCCACACCAATAGGTGGCATAACATCCTACACTCATCACTACAAAACCAGAGAAAAAAAAAAGGACCAATCGTCGCTCGTTGTCCCATTTTCAGCCAATCAGCGTCAACCTTGATGAAATTTAAAAAGTCACCCGCCATGGTTGTTGTGTATTTCAGGCTGAACTACCTGTCCGTTGAGTAGTAGGTGTCATACTGCGCGGCTGGAAAACGAAGTTTGATTTGTATACGTGTTTTTAAGAAGAGCAAGGTAAAATGGATGTGTTATTATATAATTCGTTAAAAGGCAGTTCTATAGTTGGTTGCTAACGGAACATTTCCTCTTGGTGATGAGCTGTACTAACGCTTAACGTCTAACTAGCTAACTGTGCTAACATTAGCTACATTTTGCTCGTCTTTATCGTACAAACTAAATTATTCTACGTTAACTGTTACAGTAATTGGAACGGGATTTGTAACGTTAATCATACGGAGTTTGATAAACATTAGTTAAAGTTTGATCAACTTAACTTTGCGTTGGATTTTGGACCACTGGTTTTGAATAGGTTACTGTTGTGTAATTTGTCCATGGAAAGTGTTTCATCATACATTAACGTTACAACGTGTTTTTTTTCCCCTTTGTGTTTCGCCTTTAAGTTTTTTAAGTTAATGTTACAGTGAAATGTAGGTTTTAAGGTCAGCTCAACGTTATCTGTTTGACACCTTAGGGAAGAGACAGCTAAACATTGAGGTGTATTTAGCGTTAACGTTAAGAGGATTAAAAACAATCATTTGTAAATTTCGATATATGATTACATGTTCATGTTAATTTTGAGAAGGGGCTGCTAGTTTCAGTTGAATCCTGATGTTCAATTGACGTCATAGGTAATTACTTTTGTTGACTAAATGATGAAAAACTAATGCTAATACTTTTTTAGGTTTTAAATCCTATCACTTTTATTTAGACCCTAAACATTCATCTTTTTGTAGAAGTTGTCAAAACCTCTACCACTTCCAATGTGATTTACTTGAATACCTGTCATAGCACCTTATATTCTGATCCTCTTAACTCCAGATACATGAACATGGATTCACGATTCGCTCACCTGCGCCAGCGGGACGCCAGTGTGTCGATGCTGAGGGTGAAGATGTCCCGCAGGAGGTCTCAGTCCCAGAAGGAGAACAGACAGCGGGCCATGAACACACGCAGACAGATGGACCAAATCCCAGAGATGGAGATGTCGTCCCTGGACGCCTCCACTGCGATGGCCAACATGTCAGTTACTCGGGGGAAGACACTGAACAATGCCAAATCTGCTAAAAGTATGGCTTTATTTACCACCAGAGCTTCGACTCAGTCTAATAACTTGTTCACAATAAGGCACTCCCAACATAACCCTTTATTTTCCTCACAGTTATGGCTGCAGAAGAGAGGTTGAAGCAGCTCCAGCGCTGGAAAGAGCGTAAGACTCTTGAAAAGGAGAAGGAAATGAGAGAAAAGGAGCGTAAAGGTGTTTTTAAGACAGGCCTGTATCATCCAAAGGACGGTCTTTCCATCGCCCCCCTGCCCACAGTCCCAGCTAGCTCAACTAGATCTAAGGAGGTGAGGGGCGGATCATCAAAACACTAGTTTACACTGTAAACAACTCCTGCAATATAATAATAATAATAATAATAGATTTTACAGGTGCTCAAAGACGCTTTACAGATATAGTGAAAAGACAATCTGTCTAATTTGTTCTTTTTATTTCAGTCTTTGAACACAACTGCATCCCAGAGTGTCAGAGTCACTCGATCAATGAAACAGCAGCAGCAGCAGCAGCAAGTGCAAAAGGTAATACGATCTTTTTCTCATATGCTCACAAATTAACTTCCAGAAAACCAAAAGCTGATATAAACTTTGTTGTGCTTTTCTTCCACCACATTTTCCACAGCCTCTAAAGACGCAGAATCTGAATACTGCAACAAAAAAAGGTAAACAAATGGAGTTTCCCAATGTTTTATATAAAGCATATTGTTTCCTGTAACCTGGCGTCTTATAGATCTGACCTCTCTCGCCTCCTTTAGCTCAACCTGCTATGGAAAGATCCACCAGGAGCCAGGTCGCTCCCGTCAAGCCGGCAGCGGCTGCTACCAAGATCAAAGTTTGTGCCGGTAAGAAATACAATAAAGGAGTCCATAACGCGACCTTGAGACCAGCTTTCAGATCGGTTTCACCCTATTGTGTTCCCTTATCTGCACCTCATTCTGTGTCTCTGTAATTCCTACTGTAGTGGAGCCGGTCGTACGAGCTGTGTCGACCCGATCAGCCAACAGGCCTCCGGTTACAGCTCCTGTGGTGAAAGACAAACCTAAGGGCAAGCCTGCAGGTAAACACTGAGCCATGGCCACAGTTTAGGCGTTTTTATTGCATAAAAACTGAAAAGCACTTGAAATGTGACCATCAACGCAAACAGAGATACATGCTTTGTTTGGTAAACCCACTATTTGTAATCTTCTCCCATTTTAGATGCAAGAACCACAAGGAGCAGAGCGTTTGTCGACCATGTGGCCCCCCCTTCTGACCAAGAACAGAACTGTGAAGGTATCCTTACATGTTGATAAAGAGCCATCCAATTATGCAGACTAGGGCTGCAACATATTGGAAAAGACTGACATTGCGATATTGTTTTCCCCTGCTATATATATATGTATGTATGTATGTATGTATGTATGTATGTATGTATGTATGTATATGAAAAAACTGGAAAATGTTGGAGTCTTCCCTTAAAATGTATCCATGAAACACTTACTACAAAATATCATTTATGAAGCAGATTCACAACTAATATATATGAAAAAATACAGGAATTGAAAACCATCCTTTCTTGAACTTTAACGCTATACAATTGGTATTTTTCTAACTATATTTAACCGGATGAAGGATTTTAGTCACGGACGAAGTTATCAGAGCAACAAGCTGAGCTAGCTCGGTTAGCCTGCTGTGATCTGATCAGGAATGATTGTGATTGGTGGTTTGCTGTGCATGCAGAGCCTGCATGTCACTCACTCAAGTACCCCTGACATGAGAGCTGCGTGAGTTTTCCTTTTGTAGCAAAGGAATTCTAACATGACGTGTTTGAGTTAATTTGCCTACTTAATATCGCACGTCTTAAAAAAAACGCACGTCCTGCGATGTGAATATCGCGCATGCGGATAGCGCGATTATCGTCACAACACGATATATATCGCGCAGCCCTAACGCAGACTGTTTTATTTTATCCTCTAAACTTTATATAACTTTATGTATTTCTCCTTTTTAAATTACAGAAACTGACCACACTGTGGAGCCTGCTGTGTTCAAGGTGAGCTTTTATTTGAGTTTTACACAGTTGTAAAATAAGTTGGTATCTTTTTATGGTTTGAAGCTTCATTCATAAAGTTGACATTTTTACCACTATGATTGATAAATGAGTTTTTTGTGTCATACAGGTGCCTGAGATGCAGGAGCCAGGGGAAGACATGGTGGTGAACCCAGCTCCAGCCGACTCCATCCCCGCTGAGGGTCCCGTCGATGCGCCGCCCTCATTGTCTTCTTTTGCTCCGACGGATTTCACTTTCAAGGCTCCTACCGGCTTACCATCCTTCAAGTTCGATCCGCTCACTCCTCGCTCTGCAGACGCTTTCCTCACTCCAAGGTCAGCCTGATCCCCTCTTCTCTGTTGGTTAAACACTCCATAAGCTTAAACATGTTTGCATTGTTACATATTAGGGATGCCAGAAACTGACCATGATCCAAATCGGACAGCCCTGGCGAATAATAATCGATTATTTGAAAAAAAAACTCTTGCATTTGTGATTTTGAAGTAGTTCCACGAAGAACTCTTCTTTCCTTTGTTCATCTTTAGTTGTGTTCTCACTCCAATAAATCAATCGCACGTGTGACG